CCAAAAGTTCCATTGGTTTTGAGTAGATCATTGGGGCTCTTTATTTTTGCAACATCAAAGGGCTTGTGTCTGCTTTGATGTGGCAGCATGCTGTTTAAGGTACAGAGTGAATGGAAAGATGTCAAGCTGCAAGGTGCCTCTGTAGTTTGCGAGGAGGGCTCTGCAGAGCAGCAGATGAAAGGACCAAACAGGGTTTGATAATGAATGTCCAACAAGTAGCCCATCTCAGGCAGTGCTCACGCAGCGGGAGCCAGAGCTAACCTTCAACGACGCACACAACGCCCCGCACTCCTCCTCTAAATACTATCGCTCACTCCCTCGCTTTCTCTTTTTAGCCGTCCGCTGAAAACTCCAGAGAAGTGAGCTTTAATCTTCTTGTCAATTAAAACTCAATACAAAAGCAACCGCACAAACACACAGATAAAGGCGCGTGCCTGTGCCTGCGACTGCGGTCGCAGATGCGCAGCAACACGCTCTGGCACTTCTTCTGTTCCATTCTCTCTCTCTCTCTCTCTCTGAAAGACATTTGATCTCTTTCTTTTTGACAGAGCATGTCTCTCCAAGCTCAGCACTAATTGGCTTCCAATTTCACCAAGACTCGACTCAATTAGGACGTCGCTTACCAGCTCGCCTCTTCTGTCTTTTTGAAGCCAGTGTCCACCGCTGTGCTGACTGAGTTTTCATCACTCACAAACAGTCTCAATTCACCTGTTCCTTTGATATGCTATTTCAGAAAAAGAGTGCAAACTGGAAATGTCCTGCAATGGATGTGTGATGAAGTGTTGTTCGGCTGAATGCAACTGAAGGCTGATCAAACAGAAGAACAAACTTGTTAGAGAGACAATTTTAATTGATTAATTTATAAAACCAGAGGTTATAAATGAACCCGGTCTAATCCCAAGACGTCATATAACTGACGTTTTGGGACGTCTTTTGACCATACGTCAATATTCGCCTTTTTAGGGCCCCCTTAAACGTCGGTAGATGAGGTTATGGGATCCTAACTCTACCCCATACCTAAACCTAACCCTAAACCTAACCCGTCACCTAACTGACGTTAAAGGTAAAGCGTCAGTTGTATGACGGCCCGGGATCGCCATCTACCGACGTTTAAGGGGGCCCTAAAAAGGCGGATATTGACGTATGGTCAAAATATGTCAGTTATATGACTTTTTGGGATGAGACTGTGTTGTATAAATTGTGTTGCCATGAAGGTGTGCCAGACAGAAATATGAATTTATGGCTGTTGTTACCATTTTCATGTGATGAAATAGCAGAGGTGGGGGACTCGAGTCACATGACTTGACTCGAGTCTGACTCGAGTCACAATTTTCAGGACTTGTGACTTGCTTGATTAAAGTACAAAAATGACTTGACTTGACTTTGACTTGAGAACAAGTTACTTGAGACTTGACTTGACTTGAAGTGGAAGACTCGACAATGACTTGAACATATAATAAACAAACAGCAATACAGTTAATTAAAATATATATTATGACGTCAGCATCAATATATCGGCATCTGTGCCTTTACGCTGCTCAATTCAAACCGCGCCAAACGGAAGTTCCGGGAGTCTCACGCATATTGATAGCGTCTCCCTGATGCCCGCAAATGAGTTAAAATCTCCCGGAATCTAGAGCGAGATACTGCGCGTATAACATACATAGCGTGCGGCGTGTGCACGGCAGAGATATGGGAAGCCAAACAAACCAAAAGTGGGACGAGACAGCGGGGCTTTACAGAGCTCGTGCCGCGCAGACATGTCATCTGCACGGTTCAATGATCCGAGCCGCGCAGCCGATTCGTCAGCGCAGCGCGGACGTGTTTCCTAGCGACACTCAATAGTCAGCGCTGTACTGACCAATTTAAAGCAACGCAAACCATATGCTACATACTACATGCAAATAAATGTACAATAAAGAAACCCCTCCTTCCTTACAAAGAATTGTTCTCTACTGAAGTTTAGGAGTTAATTATGGAGAATTCCATAATTAAAACAATCATTTGTTAATATTTATGTAAATTTAATATATAATATACATAATATTATTTAATATGTAATATTTATTAAATATAAAATGTGTTAATATAACATATTACCATTTTTATTTTATATTTATTTTAAACATATTTTAAATATGTTAATATAACATATATTAACCCCCATATATGAATTCTTGTAGGTTGGGATGTCTGTATATGCAGCATAGATATATACACGGCTGTGCAGCTGCAAATGCGTTTTACATATAGGTTTCAGTAAATCGAGGAAAAGGAGTTTCCGAAGACATTTGTTGGCTATGATAAGAAAAACTACTGAATTAAAAAAAAATTGCATTTTATATTCTCATACATTTCATACATTTTATATTTTACATTTATATAAGATATAAGATATTACATTTTAGATTTCATACATTTTAGACCGTTTCAATTAAATTGAATTAGACAGATTGGATTATACATCTTAGAATCGATACATCTTAGACTCTGAACGTTTTGTGTAAACAACACAATTTTATTTTATTTTCAGATATTAATGTAGCACAGATATGCATATGATTAATATAGCAAATGTAAGATACATAATATATGTATAAAAGTTCATCTTTTCTGTGCAAAAATAAATATGTATCGAAAAAATTTACCTCTATTTATTTTAGTAGTGTGACTTGACTTTACTTGAAACTTATCAGGACTTGACTTGACTTGCTTAGGGTGAACCCTTGACTTGACTTGACTTGCTTGATTTATCTGAACTGCGACTTGAGACTTGACTCGAGACTTGATGGTTAAGACTTGAGACTTGCTTGGACTTGACCATGTGTGACTTGTCCCCACCTCTGTGAAATAGATCACGGCATTCGGCAAACCACTTTGAGGGCAGACGAGGATCCACTTTTAAAGATCTAGTGTTCATCTATATAGATGAGCTATTTTAGAGTTGTGAAAAGTGGATATTCATTTCATGTTCTCTGGGGTAGTGTGGTATGAACCCCCTTACCCAAAATTCCCTTGTGTGCTGCCCTTCCACTCAGTGATAAGTGCACATGCCTGCCTGTGGTCAAATAAGATCCTTACTGAAAATCAACCTAGAATTCAAAACTGCCAAGAAGTTACTAATTAAATACTTCATGATTGGAGTACCAAACCTGTCAGAGACATTACTTGTGTACCAGTGTGTCCTGTAGTATTTTTCTGTGATGCTCTGCTGCTGCTTTGTCGGTGCCCCGACAAAAGAAAAGATATTTTACTGCAGTTCTGAATGTGAATTTGTTGCCTGTAATGAATGTGATGAAAGAAAAATATTGTGTACCATGAAATAATGGCAATGTCTCATTATTGAATTGTCATTGCAGGGTGCTGCAATCCTAAACAAACATACAACGTGGCAGTGTTGTCCGGTTTACATACAAATGACTCTTATCTGCTATCTTATTGAATCAAAAAGAGCCCAGTGTAGTCTGATTCCTGAACGAATGTTTCAGATGAATCAATTCTTTTTAGTGAATCAAAAACATGTAGCACGACCAGGGGTGCGTTTCCCGAAAGCATCGTTAGCCAATTATGGTCGCAAGTTGGTTGCAATTTCCATTGAACTCTCTTGGTAACGACGGAACTTGCGACCATAGTTGGCTAACGATGCTTTCGGAAAACGCACCCCTGTGTAGTTTGATTCCTAAACGAATGCCTCTTATGAACTGGTCATTTTTAGAGAATCAAAAACACTGGGTGTAACTGTTTTCTGATTCCAAAACTAATCTCTCTTATGAGCTGGTCAAAAAGATGATTTAAACTAAATCTAAATGAATCCATATACAATCACAATTCATCAGAACAGTTATGTGTTGACATTGACTCACTCACTGAACTTTTATTGATGCCGGTATGGAAATGAAGAATGCTTTGTGCCAATAATTACTGACTGATGATTGTCCATATGACAGTGAGTTGTTTATGTAATAAATGAAGATCCCTAGTAGCTATATATATATAGACCATTTTGCAAGATGTAAACAACACTGGTTCAGAAACACTTCCTGTTTCAGTTTGTAACTGTTTTCTTTATTTCACATGGAAAGAAAACATCTTAAAGATGTTTGTTTAACTTTTTGAATCAGTTTTATATGTTCTGTTGGTTGTATTTTATCCCAGCTTTTATGTAGTGTTAAACTGAATCAGGAAGTGCTTCTGGACCAGTTTTGTTTACATCTTGCAAAATGGTCTATACGTCCACTCATATCACCCACGAACGTATATTATAAGGTCACCCCATCATGCTGAAGGGACTGTAAAAATCCTGCATCTCTTTTTGTTCTCTAACATTTACCATTTGTGAGCATGACAGTCTCACAACATTGGAAATGACAAGAACATTTATGCAAAGGGAGCTCAATTGTTCACTGATTAGGATATTAGCATTTCTGTCAGAACTCTCCTCACAGTTCCTCTGTGTTTGTGGAAAAGCACAAACATGAAAAACCACACCTAACTGTTTGTCATCATTACATCTGTCATTGTTAAACCCATCTGAGCTTTATATAATACACTGATAAGAAAGATGACAAACACATCATCACACATTAGGAAATATGAGATAACGCAATCATGACAATATACAACAGGAACAAAACAGCTCTCTTTCTCATGTTTTCATTAGATCAAAGACAAAGGCAAATTGGAAAAGCCACATATCCATCTCTCACACACTAGGTAAGATGTTTTTGCATTGCTTTCAATTGTTTGGATATTATTCCAATAAACCTGATTTGACCAGGGTGTATTATTCTGTTTTCATGACTAAAATCCTGAATATTTTTCCTAGCTCTGAAGATTTTTGAATTCCTGTTTTTTATGAAGTTTGTTAACAAAGCATGTTCAAATAATTGATCCAATTATCACATCATTCCAGCCAGCTGTCGACAATCAGTAATCAACATGTCTATCCAATTAGCTTGAGACCTACATATACTCATTTGACTCAATGTTTCTCGACAGTTTTTCAGCAAGAGATTCCTGCATGTCCTGTTCTCTCTATTGTAAGTTAAATGACTATTGACACTAACACTCTTGTCTTTAATGGCTCTTGGAGCACCTGTCCTAGTCATTGATAGTGATTGGATTATCACTTTTTCATTTTGAATGACATGTTATGCAGATGAGTTCAGGGCTGGGGAATTTTCTGATGGCAGGCTGACTCCTATACTACACTTACATGCTTTGTTCAGATTGTCTCCACCATTATGTAAATCCCTCCCCCTTGAAAAGAATGAACTCAAGTGTGCTGAGCTATGAGTTTAGACTTGGATGACTACAGCAACTCACAGCGAAGTCCTCAAAAAGAGTAACTTTTTGCTTGAGTCCCTGCACGTCTGGGCCAAATATCCCTGCCGTTCGGGCCAAATATCCGAGCTCAGAGCCCTCTCCCAGGACATCACACCAAATATGCATACCATTTATTCTATATAGCTAATTTTTAAATGTGAACTACTGAATTTCTGACTAGAGTTTTGAGCATGTAACAGAGCAACTTCTGAGATAAAAAGGCAATAAGAATTCTGCCATGATGCTCTGTTTCTCTGCTGAGACACAGGCTAATTGTGTTGTCACTGTCAGCACATGTCAGCTGGCCACTGGATGACTGTTCTTCTGTGTCCAGTGCAATGCCAGAAATGCTCCAGCATGATAGACAAGTTCATTGAGAGGTACTAAGGAGAGTAAGTCAATTAATTAATTTGGTGGAGGGAAATGCCCATTACTGTTGTTCAAAATTGTTTATTTGTCTCAAATTCTACCTACCAGGGTTGAGCATCATTCAGAATGCCTTTTAAATTCTAGTTCAAATTGAAGTAAGAAACAAAATGCAAAACTGCAGTTCAAATTTGGATGGAGGTAGAATTCAAATGAATTAAAATGCAAAGAAGTTCCTGTAACGGTAACTTTAACACGAAAAACAACGTTTTTAAAAAGGCTCTGTCTTTAACATTGGATTTCAGAGGGATGGAGACATCATGCTGATCAGCTCTGGTCTCATCAAAGCCAGACAACCCACCCACACAAGATGAACACCAAACCAGCACATCAGCTAACACTGCCCAGTTGACTACAGTGCCTCATCATCAGAAGAAAACATATAGGCTATTGCTAACACTTTAAATAACACTGTAGGATTGCAGACTAGTGCATAAAGGCAAAAACTGATCAGTATTATTTATTGAGTCCATATACAGAAGATAATAATTCCCTCTATACTGCCTTATAAGGCCAGAGGCTGTTGAGCCGACTAGTATAGGCAAATCAAACAATATTTAAGCTTAAACATTTGTTGTAACTGACTGAAAATGTTTCTTGAACATTATTGATAAATTATAGAAACATGTACAGATAGCTTAATAGGCTACTTATTAAAAACAAACAAGAAAAGAAGAACAAGCTGAACACAAGGCTATGAACATAAAACTATTATGTTTTAATTTTTTCAAAACTATTATTTATCATTTACTGTAAAAAAAAAAAGAAAATAAAAAAGACAAACTGCTTGCTGAGATAAAGCAATAGGCCACATTTTTTTCCATGATGCTAGGGTTCCCTCTTGAGTTTGAAATGTAGTTCTGCATGCATTTTTTTATTACTAGAAAATGTGGCAAAACTTGTTTCTTTACAGCCACGATACAGTTTTGTCTGTCATTGTGACATCGCTCCGATCATTTTTGTTTTTGTCATTTCCGAAACTCTGCAGTGTGGATGACCAGTCCATGACAGACCCGGGGAGCGTTGGACCACATGAGCAGTAGGCTCACTGAACTGTTTGTAGCCTTATATTCATATTGAGCAAATGGAGGTTTTACGGGAGAAAACAAGTCTCTGACAACTATAGCCCAACACTTTAATGGGAAAAAAAAATTAAGAAGAAGAAAATCAGTAGCCTGTACACACAATATGATTGCATTCAAGAAAAAAGAACAGCGTGTAGCCTACTGGCATTCAATTTCGCAGTAGGTTACATAAGCAGCATATATAGACAAAACCACAGTGAAGACCTACTGTCGTACAAATAAAGTGCCACAGCACCCCTCTGTCTGATCTGCAACGACACTGACAACAACACAGACTGCTATACTAGCCCAACTTCCTGAAGATTCAGGGGAGAACAGCACCTCCTCTTTCACTTTCAGTTCGGACGATCATTTCCATAAAGTGACCAAACACATACGCCCGTGTTCGTGGTGTTTTCATATTCCAGTTTAGTATATAGAAAGTCAGTAAAGATGAAGAATGAAGAATCACAGGCTTGGAATATTTAGCAGACAGACGTTTAGGCGTGTTTCGTTTGGGATATTAATTTCGAAAGTTTCAAGTGAGACAGAGATGCATTTGTTCTTAAACTACAGGCTATAGGCTACGCATACGCGTATGATTATGAATGGAACATTTATCGCCTATAGTGGGTGAGCAGCATGACATCCACGAGTTATTTTGGACCTTCTCTGGTAAGTGTTTTTTTTTAATATTATTTTTTTTATATACATTGGGAAGTAGATTAATTTCCAATCCATTTGCGGTATAGCTTGTTCCTATTTAAACTAAATTCACAACCATCATTCACTAATCAAGGCATAATTAAAAAATAACAATATAATAGACAATTGCATGGCCTATCTGCTTTTGGTAAAAATGAGGAAATGAGTGCTCAAATTTACTCTAGCAGTTAATAATTTGTGCCGATATTATATATCTCTATCTCTTTTTGATGTAGGTCTTCTATGTCTCATCCCTTTAGTTTGGTTCTGATTGTGTCTGTTGACTTTGAGACAAGGCAGAGTTCCACTATGAGCACTCAGTTGATCCTAAAACAGCGAGCAGAGCTTCTGGCAGTCCTATGTGGTGGAGGCAGTGCTGAACCTCTGGACTGTGTTCTGGACTTACTTCTGGCGTGGGAGGTTCTTGTCTGGGAGGATTACCTAAACATACGGGTGGTGGAGAAACCCTTATGTTCTAATGTAAGGCAACTTTTAGATGTGGTGTATGATAAAGGAGAAGATGCATGCAGCTTTTTTTTGGCTGCAATTAACCAGATCTTACCAGATGAGCAGAAGGTGGGACTGTGTTTTGGGAACGGATGTGCTGTGGTGGGCAAGAACAGACCAGACTCTGCAACTTTAACATTATTGGCTGACAGGCCAGTCTTAGTGACAAAGCTCAGAGATAATATTGACGAAGCTTTGCATGCTTTACTGACAACTGGCTGCTTCACCATCAAAGATTGTGATGGGGTGCAACTACCTGTATACACACCGTCACAACAGGTAACTTGATTGAATACTGCTCTAACCCATAAATTAGTTTACTTCTTTGTATTATGAAATCCTTGAAATTGCATGTGTCCCACTACTAAATTATGTTTTATTAACAAAGTTCGGGAGGAGTACGTTCAGATAATTAATCTAAATTAACACAAGATGAGTGCACTCAGTTAATCAATTAATTGCCAAAATAAGAGGTATACATACAGCAGACTTACCACAGTTCACTGGCAGTTTAAATAGCATCCATCCACGACCCCTTCTCCTCACTGTAGTCTTAACCACTCTTACAACAACCGGGGGGAGTACTCTGGGTTTGGGCCTAATTCCGAACTCAGATCCCTCCCCCTGGACAGCACGCCAAATATGTACGTGTGAACTTGTAATCTATCATATAACTCGCCCTATGACTAAATTCATTGTCAGTGACATTTGAATTGCCATACATGATAAATTGCCAAATGAAAATTGTCATATTGTGATATATCTCTTATAGCCTGGCTGCGCCCTCCTATGCACTTCCGCTCAATTTCATTTTCCTTCAGTACAAATGAAATGTACTAGAGTCTGGTTGAACCAGGCTATATCTCTTATACATGCTTTAGAAATTGAGCTATTTTCCAATAGTCATTGATAAGCTCAAAATAGTTTGACATATGACATATTTCTTTCTTCCAAGCCTGTTCTCTTCTAAGTAAATGTCCTTTACTTGCTTAATAAATGTACATCCAGTGATCTTGTTGGATTGTTGCAGGTTCGGAGGCTGTTAGACCAAGTAAAGTTTAAAGGGGAAACTGCTGCAAAGACCTTACTACAGTTTCTAGAACAAACAGAGCCAACCAGACCAAACCCTGAAGAGAAAGAAAGTCACCTTTCTGCTGGTAAAAGACATTTCTTCTGTCATATGGACACTGGACAGGAAGTCTTTTTTTCATGTCTTTGTCTTTGATTTTGCATAAGATGCAAGAAATGGACATAATTATGTCACTTTTATTTATTTGAATATATGTTGACTTAACTAAAAAAATGTAAAATAAGTATAAATACATTTAGAAATATAAATAAAATAATAATGAATACAAGATAATACAATCATTTTTACATTTTTTTCTTTATTAGTAATAAGTTAGCTTATCCAAAAACATAAATGTAATTGTCAATACACTCTGTCCTCTACTTTACATTGTTTCTCCAGATTGTCTGCTGTACCAGACGAAGCTGCGAAGCTCTGTTGCTGCACAGTCACTCTTTCTCAGCACCTACGGTGGGACAGGACGTTTCTCCTTGGATGATATTTACACTGATGGACTTCTTGAAGTAATGGATGGTTCTGGTGAAACTACTACATTAGGGCTGGAGGATGTGGTGGGTCCCATAGGGAGTCTAAATGAAGATGCTGACACCATTCTTGTGTCTGGGGAGGCAGGAAGTGGCAAAAGCACACTGCTTCAGCGACTGCACTTGCTCTGGGCAAGAAAAGCTTTGCTCACAAACACTTTTCTGCTGTTCTCCTTCAGTTGCCGCAAACTGAATTCAGAGCACAGAGAGTTATCTCTGAAAGAGCTCCTCTTCCTGCACTGCTGCTGGCCTGATCGAAGTCAGGATGAGGTTTTCCAGTACATCCTAGACCACCCTCATATGGTGCTGTTCACTTTTGATGGGCTTGATGAATTTAAACACGGTTTCACAGATGAGGAACGTCACTGCTGCCCCACAAAGCAAGTGCCTATACATGTATTGCTTTTCAATCTGTTGCAGGGTACGCTAATGAAGGGCATTTTGAAGGTGGTCACCAGCAGGCCACAGGCTGTAGGCCCATCGCTGAAGCGCTATCTCCGCAAAGAAGTGCACCTGAAGGGTTTTTCTTGTAGAGGTATCAACTGCTTTGTGAAGAAACATCATAGCGACCCTGCTATAGCTAGAAGTGTCATCGAGTCCCTCCAGAGTAACACGGTGTTGCTAGGTCTTTGCCACATCCCAGTCTTTTGCTGGATTGTGACCAAGTGCCACCGGGAGCTTCTGGGTGGTCAGGATGGTATTCCTCAGACCATCACTGATGTCTACCTCCTGGTCTTACAGCATTTCTTCAAGCGAAACTCATCTCAGCCCCAAGGAGTCCTGGGAAAGGCCTGGTTGGAGGAACATTTGAACACAGTGTTAAAACTTGGACAGTTGGCATTGGAAGGCCTGGAAGCCTCTTGTTATGTGTTCTCAGGATATGAGCTGCAAAGAAATGGGCTCACAGAACAGGATATCAGCATGGGTTTCCTAATTTACTGCAATGACCTATCCGTGACACATTGCAAACACTACGAGTTTCTGCACATCACCTTGCAATGCTTCTTCGCTGCTCTGTATGTTGTTCTTACTCGTAACAACAATCGCTCTGCTATCTCCAGACTCTTTCAGCCTCAGTACACGCAGTGGTCAGGCCTGTCTCAAAGGTGTCTTGGACACTGTATTGATCCGTCAGTTGAGGAGGTGAAGACCCATGTGGCAGAGACACCAAACCTCCAGATTACAGCTCAGTTTGTGTCAGGACTTTTTTCTCAGCGGCACCATAATCTCCTCCTGGACTGCTGTCCTACTGCTGTGCGGGAACGCAAGTTCAAGCAGGTAGTGAAGTCATTGTCTAAAGGAATGCAGAGACATTTCAAGACAATTCCTCGTCCTGTAGAAGGGGAAAAGAAGAGCATGCATGCCATGCCAAGTTTTGTTTGGCTAATCAAGTGCATATATGAAATGCAAGACAACAGTATCGCTCAAGGTGCCGTGGCTAAGTTGGACGTTGAACACCTGAAGCTAACCTATTGCAACATTGGACCGATGGAATGTACTGCACTGACGTACGTGCTGAAGTTCCTGCGGAATCCTGTTGGGCTTCAGTTGGACAACAATTCAGTTGGAGATGTGGGCGTGGAGCAGCTTCTACCTTGTCTACATATTTGTCACTCCCTTTAGTAAGATGAGTATTAACTGATAGTTGTGTTTGAATTGATGTTTAAGCTTTCTATTTTTTCTTAATTTACCCAAAAATGAAAATTCTACTTGTTGTATCATTTACTCAACCTTTTATTTACATTCCAAACCTGTATGCATTGTGGAACAAAAAATAAGATATTTATATATAAAAAAATGTCAGCATTTTTTGGTCCACACAAAAAAAAATCAATGAGGCCCAGTGTTGTTTGGACCCCAAAATATCTTTCTTTCTGTTCTGCAG